TGCGAGACATCGCAAGTGTGAGCCAGCGAGCCATGACGTTACGACAATAGATAGAGATGTTAACAAGTTGTGCGAGGTATCGGCTGAGACTTGTGGAGTACAATTCAAAAAACAACTATAGGTCTAATAATGAATTATTGTGATTTTAAATAGACAGTGTTAGCTATCAAAGAGCGACGTTGTTTTTCATTGGGACCTTTGTCCCTTCAAGGCTAGGCCTGTAACATCCTAGCTAGTCTAGGCTTAGAGTGCTAGCGCGACATGCGGACGTTGGTACGAGTAGGTTAGTCTACAAACGTCGCCTAAAGTAATTGATTTTACCCGGCAGAACGAAAGAAGGAAACTCCACCTTTCAGTCGTCTTAGGCAGTTGTTTTTTGACAAACAATACCTTTCAGAGGTCAGCAATTATTATTACTTTGCCATGCAAACCTTCAAACAATACATATAAATATAAACATATTTAAATCATCATACGATGTGGAAATGAACTCTAAACTGTATTGCAGTAATGCTATAATGATATAAATTTTGAATGAAGAGCTGAACAACAACTATAAAGAATTTTAAAACAAAAAGTATAAAATATAACATAATGGTAAGGGGTTATAAGTGTTTGTACCACGCAAGTCTTGGCAATTTAAAATCAGGTTATACATAAATAATATTTTAAGCACTCCTGTACTCTTCCTCATTGATAAAACATGGTTTGATAGGCATAAAAATACTAGATGTGGATAATAAAAACAGACGGTGACTAAAAATAAGATTGGTCATAAGAGACGCAAATAATTAAAGTAGGATTATGTGATTATGTTTTATTGTCTTGGCAAATTATTATAAACTAACCTCCTCTTTCTATGTTGCAACTCCTTATCCCTTTCTTTCTCTCGCTCTTCGCGTCTCTTTGCTCTTTCTGCTTCTCTAGATTCCTTCTTAGCAGCAACAAGTTTCTAAAATCAACATCAAATTCAAACATAAAGTACATCTTATAATTGATATAACAAAACATGTACATGATTTATATTAGGGAAAAAAATTATGTCAGAAGAAACAAAGTATAAAAAGCCACCAATGTGCAGGCTCCATGTGAACTTACAGGGATTCTGTTGAAAGATCATTGATGCATGTTTTTCATAAGAATTTTAAATTTTAAGGCTAACTCTGTTAGGGCAGAGGTTCCTATGCAGCCATTAGTAAAAGTTACACTATTTGTAATGATGTAGCTCTGTGCTTAGGTGGGCTCAAAGCCAAATAAAAATAACTGCCGGACTTCATCAAATTTTAAGGCCCTGTGAAAAAAATTTCAATCGGTATTTGGTCTTTTAAAATGAGAGGACCTGATAATTTACTTGATCTAGGTTTGTATTTCTTACACATGTAATGCACTTATAGAAGCTAGCCTAGGGCTCAATCACAAGTCTAGGACTAGACCTAGTTAAAATTTACCCTAAAACATAGGCAATGGTGGCACCAGCTCTCCTCCCCCCTCACGATAATGACCCCCTCTCCGTCACCAAACACGATGACGACACCCCCCTTGAAAAAATTAATTCACCTATCCAAAACGTTATTTTGAAGTCGAGTCTAAGTCAAATCCAATGGGACTGGCATAAAAAGTTATACAGATTACGACTTGCACATTTTCACGCCAAACCGAACGTTTTTTATGTCCAAAAATTATTCCTATTCTTCCTTTAAATAGAATACTTTCCAAAAAACAGAACTCCCTATTCCTATTATATTTTTCATTCAGACGATAAAATTCACTGCTAAAACTCGGACAATCAGTTAAACAGGGGATTTTCCAGTAGAGGAGGTTTGTGGTTTTTCTATTGTTTAGCACATTTAACTTTGTAATTTGTTTTATATTATTTAAAATTCTCGTCATTTTTCCTTTACTATATTCCACTTTCTTGGTAGGTTTGCTGAATTTAATCTATGACATTACAAACATTTGCTGCAATCTCAAATGATTTTGAGATTCAGGATTTACGCTTGCTGCTGCAAGTAGCAGCAAAAGATCAATACTGCCGTATGCTACACAGCAGAATCGTACCTAAACTACTTCCTGGATGGCTCAACAAACAAATAGGGTACCCTTTGAAGGAAATATTAGGATCGACAATAGCTAAAAGTGAGCATCTAAGACCAAACAACTTAACAACATTCAAAATTCCAGCATTCTGCAGGAAGAAACAACAACAACAAAGTCAACGGCTTTCCTCATGAATATCAATTACCATTTAGTAAACTATATAGAAAATTTGCACCACTGTATGTATATTTAATACTTAACAATTAATACGTAATTTCTTTTCTCAGGTAACAGACACATTTCATATATATGTGCTAACTTACATATAAGTTTTTTTTTTTAGTTTGTACACTATGCATGATGACAGATAATGCAACACAACAAATGGATTGGTTGATGCACATTGTTAGCGCCTGGAAATACATTGACTACTACAATGAATCTACCTTCCAAAGGCTGGTGAGAAATCCACAAAACGCAATAGATGAAATTCCACCAGTTTTACACTTGAAAATTTGGAAACAGGATTTGTTTTGCAATATATTTTTTTTTAATTTGTTACGCTTAAACTAGTCACAAAGTGCATCCCTTCTAAATCATACTATTTTACAGTAAATATGCTCAATTGGAAAAGGAAAAAAAAATGAAGCCATAGTTGTTGAATTTTTGGTAAATTCCATAGTACAATTATTATTAGGTGAGGTCAGGCATCAAAATAAGCATTCAATAATCCACTGAATACCGATAATAGTTTATTCCGAGCCTTGGATGGAGGAGAAATAAAGTTCTCACGTATTGCTTTAATATTTAACCAAGAATGTTTTCAAGCAATAGGGCACAATTACATGACACAGCATTAGGCGTCATCTCCACCGATTTTCGAACAGCAGAAAGACGTTTGAGAATGACGTCATTCCGATCGCATTTGAGAAATTCACCAACCTCATTATATTCTCATTGAATATTCATTAGCTTAGCCAGAGGAGGACCGAGGTTCGACAGAAATGCGTCCAAACGTGCTTGGTTGCGTTTGGACGTTCAAGTATTTTAAGGCTTTCTGGCTGGGCCTAGGACTTAACTGCCATAGATTCAACATTGTTTGTTCCAACACAAACTTGTTAATGTGCTTTGTTGTAAAAAAAAAAAACTGCCTGTCTTGCGATGCTGCTGATTCGAGTGTCGCACGTGTGTGAAGAAAGTGTGAGGTAGGCCTAGGCTGCCACTAGCTTGTCAAGGCAAGGCCCTTGGTTAGTGTTGCCTAAGCTACTACAACATGAATGTCACTCGTTTAGCCAGCGGACTCATCCGGCCGGGATGTATCAGGAATAAACACCATCCTTATTTTACAAAAATAGGCTTATAATCAGTTACCAAAGCCAAGGCATGATAGTTTTAACAACACGGCGGTGGGTACAACAACAAACTTTTAATGATATGCAGCAATAGGTCAAAAGGTCAACACTAAATGCTTGCCCTACCCAGGCCCTCAAATTGATCATCATACAGTAAATTTAACATGTTTATTACAATATTTTAAAGTCAATACATATGTTTATAAGCATACAGTACTGTATAATTGTATTAAGATGTTTATTATTATTAGACATTCAGTGAATTTAATGAAAACATACAAAAATACAGAATGTTTTATACATCGCTTCCGAAATTGCACTGTACTGTAGTACACTGCCCGACAAGCCATAGAGCAAGTGATGTAGAGGGAAGCTTAAGCAACTTGCCTCCCCGATGGCCACCACTGTAACCTGAGAAAGACGACTCATTAAATTTTGCAGAAGAACATTTGAATTTTCAGTAAATTTATTCAAACAGCTGAAAAGTAATATATTTGTATGGGTCGGCAGGGGTACCGGTATATACAATTTTTTGTTTACATGAAATAATATTAACATTAAACACACATGTAGTGTACAATACTGCCTATTATCAGGACTAATGGTGACATCTCGTAAGAGTAAATTTTTAATACGGCTCGTTTAGCTTTCCCGCGAAAATAATTTAAATTAAAAGAGGGTCTATATTATTTCAGTGACTGTATCAAGTAATTCAAAACCAAGAGAGAATGCCATGAATGTTGACTAGATGCCTAGTTACAGTATGCCTCGTCAACATATTTTTACTCATTCCCATACGTCTAGGCCTATGTGATATGACCTGCGACTGAAAGTAAATACAAACGTAATACCATGATTCAAAAAGTCAATTATTAATTAAAACCAAGGGGTATTAGTTAAAATTAACCAAACATTATCAAAACCTGTTTTTAGCGATCTCCTTGGTCAAACCAACGTCATGGAATTTTCCCATTCCAGACGATGTACACAAAGAAATTCATCAGGCCTATTTTCATGACGATTGGGCTCAACAAGATCATGTAGGCAAATCCTTTTAGCCCATGGCTGTCGTTCGTACTTGCTGATGTTTGATGTACTGTACTGGCATAAATGTATTTCATGATCATTTTAATTAAGATTCTTACACACCTTATGTTAAAGTATTGGAACGCAATAATGAATCAGAATGAAAGTGGGCCCAATAGTCCACACTAGGTCTACAGATGGGCCCGATCGTCTCGTGCTGTGGTTGGCCCGATCGTCTGTGGTCACAACAACGGAAAAGGACTGGCTAGGCCTAGGCGCCGCCGAACGTGAAAGAGATAGGCTTAAGATTGGGCGCAATCTGTGGTTTTTTAACACAAAACAATGATTATCGTGCACCCCGGTAAGTTGTGTTAAACATCAACAATCTTATCATAAAATACAGTCAGGCACACAAACGTGTCTAAACGTTTAATCAGTCAACCATTTAAAGGGGGGGGGGGGGGGGGAGCAATGAGCTAACGGCTTCAAACATGAATAAACGCACCCTGGCTAACAGCATTTGTGAGCGCTTTCGGATAGCTTATCGGAATACAATAGAAAACGCGTCAGAATGTGATTCAGTCGTTCAAAAACCGGTGGAGATGACGCCTTAGCATAGACATCGGTTTAAACATATTTTAATAAACTACCGTACCTTTAAAGCTGCAAGTTTTTCACGAATTTCAATGAAACCCAGGTGCAATTTGCCACCAAAGTGATCAGCTAGACGCCTGTCATTATCTTGAAGACCCAAGTATGCTGAACATACTTCACACACACGTAGTTTCTGTTGCTGGTAGGTTGATGCTGGCATGGATTGACGGTATTCTTCCTGCATTCACACAACCATAGAAAAAAAAAATAATCTTAAATAACTAGGCTAGTTGTATTCTGCTAGCAACATTATGCACCCATACACAAATGCAGCATGTATGAATGAATGCAGTACCGATGTATGGATAAATCCTATTTGAATGGATGAAGCACATGTGAATGGATAGAACATCCATGCAGGGATGCAGTAACCATGCATGGATATGACACCCATGCATGGATATGACACCCATGCATGGATATGACACCCTTGCATGGACGTAGCATGTGAATAGATGCAATCATGCATGGATGATTTATGGCATGAATGAATCACATTGTAAATGGATGTAGCCAGTAAATGGATGGAACATCCATGCATCTTTTTTGCATCCACACAACCTACGCATAAATATGACACCCATGTATGGATGCAGCACACATAAACAGATGGAGCATATGTGAATAGATGGAAATTCCTTCCTATATATTATAAGCAATGGCAATACATTTCATTCTTGTACTTCATGAAAAGCACTATTTTTCTACAAAATAGTTGAAGAATCGCGTAATTTCGCTTTTTAATGTACTGTTTTAATGACTCCCACCAGGGCAATGTAAATAATGTGCAATTTAAATTCGTCTACAATACATTATACTGCCTTCTGTTCCCCCGTTATTTATTTATTCACTTACTCTTTTTTTTTTTAATGGTAATTTTGTTGTTTTTATGACATAATCGTAATTTTAACTTTTTTGCCTGAATTTTTTATATTGAATATTATTGAATAAAATCCATGAATGAATGAATGAAATTTTAAATCCAAGAATATATGAGCTGCTTCACAGTAAATAGATATGCCCCAAACAATATTTGTTAGCCAGGCATAACACAAGGTTTTATTGTTTAAAATGACATTTATATCATCATGTGAGTATACATATTAAGAATCACTTTAGGAACAATTTGCATCTGAAAAAATAAATATAAATTGAGGTATTTTTTAGCCATAAATTACCATTCCAAAAATCTAACATGACAAAAATTTAATATACTAGAATTTTTAACAATTGTATTTCAAGAATTGATCTCATTTTTTTCCTAGTAACTACAATTATAATTCTGGTGAAGACGGTTTGGCTTAGTGGTTTCCATTTTGGTTGTTGAACTTGTGGTCAGGAATTCAAACCACAAGCTGTCCAATCTCACTGGCCATGCTTAGATACCCCAACTTGCATTGTTGACACTGGACAGGCTGTCAAGTGGCTCAGGCTTATGTCAAGCATTTTCATGGCATACAAATAAATGATAAAGTAACCCCTTACCTAGAAGTGGCTTTCGAGCCTTGTTTGAGTTAATTTCAGTACAAAAAAATAATAAAAAATAAAATAAAAAAAACACTGGAAAATAATAAATTAAGGTAGAAAAAAAATGTGAAAAAAAAAATCATAATGGAAATTAATCAAAATTTTTAATGGAAAAAAATGTGTAACGATTATAACATCAATATCAAAGAATTTAGAAAGTTCATACTGGTTCAATACTCTTTAAAAAAAAATTGTCATATTGCATTCTATTTTATCCACAGCTATTACACTGATCTACATTTATATCATAGGCGGATTCAAAGGGAGGGGGTGGACCGGGGCCCTTTAATTTTTTCAAAATTTAAAAAAAAAACGGGAAAAAAAGAAAATTATATATTCAAATTTAAGTCCAAGAATGCCATTTCCGGCCATCTAGAGGTGGCTTAATCAAAATTTTTCTTACTCAGCCCCAACCATGGTGGGCCTGAGGTAGTATCGACCATCCATCTGTGAAAGTCCCTCTTTGGGCCCCTTCTATTACAATTTCCTGGATCCACCACTGATCCACTTAGAATTCCTGATCAACTACACTGTTTCAATCTATGAGGTAGTGAAATTTATCTGCATAGATTATAGCTACCCAATTCAAGCAAGCTTACTGGGATTTCCAAATTTGCATTTAGAAATTGTACATGACTGAGTATTAATGCAAATGAAATACCGTAAATTGATTGATTCCTTCATTGTATTTGAATCTGTTGAACTAAAAAATATTTAAATATTTCTCTTTTTGTTTACTATACTACTAATTTACCCACCTCTGCTTCACTTTTCTTCTTTCTTATTTCTTCAACCTCCTGCATCATCTTCATTGATTCTTCTACATTGCCCTCAGCTCCAAGTTTCTCTGCTTCCATAACTTTTTTGCCAATTGATTCAGCCAGTTCATGTACTTTATCAGCCTACAGAACAAGATAATACAAACAATATTCCAAGTGATTAACTGTATTTTACTACTTGACAAGAATACACAAAATTAGTGTATGCTGTGAACATCAACAATTTCTCTAGCATATGATCATTTAGTTAAAAAATCATTGTTTTAATTATCTGGTCTTTTTAATAGTAAATTATCTAAATTTGGGTTTACTTTTGCTATTGTTTTTATTAATTATAAATATTTTCTGCTAACATAATTTAAACAATGTAAATGTAAATAGTGAAATACACACAAAGAGATCTGATGAAAGACCTTGCAATAACCTGCTCATACTGGGCACTGAAAAAAGCAGCAACAAAAGAAACCATTCTGAAAAAAGCAGCAACAAAAGAAACCATTGAGATTTTTCTGCTCGAGACTGTTCTACAGAAACATCACGGATGAGAGTAACTTACCAATGTATGTTTCACATCTGATTAAATTCACAAGACAACCCCAAGCTATCAATACTGCTTGATGATTTTGCTGCTTGGCATCACATAGGTAAAATTATGTTGCCAAGACACTCACAATCTTTGACAACTAATAACCATCAAAAAAATTTTAAAATATATTTCTTATTTATACTAGGGAGCCTGTCCAATAGCAAGCTACTGTTCTCCATTGTAGCTCTATATGTTTGTAAACTAAGTCTCATTTAACACGAGGCATAGGAAGTGGAGCTGTAGTCTCATTACGAGGTAAGGGGATTGGAGTTGTTGTTAAGTTGTGAGAACAAAAAAATGTTTTTTTAACCACAATAAAAGCTCACAACTGTGTTATTTAGGAGCCCACATGTGCATACAAGAAGAGAGTACTTACTAAAATATGTATTAAACTATTTAATAAATTAACGAAAGAGGAGAGCAATATAATTTAATATTGCTAAAATATGATTACAAATTTTAAAAACATAGGTTTCAAATGCCCATAGTGTCAGAATTTTACCATGTTCTTTATTGGTCAACCAGAAGTCTTAGTTTAATTATTATACTTTGTAATGGTTTCAGTTTTACAGTCCACATTTACTAGGGAAAAAAATGCTAATTTTATTCCCACTAATCAATATTTATAACAGGACAAAATGTTTGCCTATAAATAAAGTAAACGAATAACCAGTGGTGTGGTAATCTGTACTCCTGTTAGTAAGATTATAATCAGTAACAGTATCAGTTAATAAACATGTTGCAAATTATATAGCCACTGCATAATGCAGTAGTTGTACATTCCATAAATTGCAATTCTTATTAATATTTATAAATTATTTTAAATTAACAAACAACATTTGAATTGGTTTTAATTAGTGAAAGTAACGCAAAAATATCTGAGGAAAAATAGTTGTTAGAAGCAATTACATACTGTTGAATAGCATGGGGCCATTACATTTAAGTTTATTGGGAAAGAAATTCACCTCTTGAGTTTACAAAGAGACACTATTTATATAATTTATAATTTATAATTTGGTCATTGGGGTGATATAAGACTTAGAAACATTATTTTATATTAATAAACAATACAGCAATTAAATAATTATAATAATGATGATAATGATCACAAATGAAGACAGCTCTTTCATTGCCTAAACTGAAATATTGTTCAAGAAAATTGAAACCACCTAAACATAATAGGCAATAACAACAGTACTATAATATAATCTCATCAATATTTGGGACTTTTGAAACAAATTAGTTTTAAACCACAGGTGGGCAAAGTGCGGCCCGCCAGCGATTTTTTTGCAGCCTGCGAAAATGAATTAAAAACCCTATGTGTGCGGCCCGCCAAGCAACATTGGCCAGAAAACAACTTGTTTTTTATGGCCCAACACCTATCATATGTAAAAAGTAAAATAAAACTGAGAATAATTTGGTGTAAAAGCAGTTTTTGGAAGCACACTGGAAACAACAAAGTTACTTCAATCAGTTGTTTGACACAGGATCTGACCTGGAACACATGATGCACTTATATCGAGCCCTTTAAGGTGGTTTATAACTTCAACATCTCTCCTCTTGTTATACATGGCGGGAGACCCTCAACATTACTAGTAAAACCTTTCCAAAGGCTTCATCAAATATACAGTTATTGAAATACTGTAAATCAGAATGTTCACTAAGGGGTCATCCATTATTTTCATCATTTTCACGAGCGCACTAAATGTACGCTGGGGGAGGGGGTTGAAGGCACGTGTACGCTTTTAAAAAAGTACAAAAATGACGATTTGGAAAAGTTGGCCTACGTTTTTGTGCCTAGGCATTTCCCTAGAAAGCCAAAGTTTGCTGTTATAAATTCACTGGTAAATGTTCAGTTTATCAACTGTTTATACACAGCGTCAACTTGCATCCCTAATTAACGATGAGTTGATAAGAATTGTGTAATTATAAACAATTTAAAATACAAGGAAATGCACTCTAGCTACGTAAATTTGCATAAACTGTAAACCAGTAGCCGACAAAACCACACAGCCTGACACTGACAGTAGGAAGAAGCAGCATTGGGACCATGTGTTTCACTGTGCTAAGCCTACCTTATTTCTTCTCCCTTCTTCTACGGTCTACTTCTACATTTTCAATTCAATGGGCCTACAACACTCACTCAATTTAACATTTTAACACACAATTTATTATTTGTATTCCATGGATACGCATGATGACATAAATTTTACATGTTATATATTACTAAATACAACACCAGCAAGATTCAAGTCTAAGGTCTAGAGGCAGTGTGAAGTTGGCCCTCATCCAAAAAAACAACAAATCACGCACCACTAATCTAGGTGAAAGGTTAAACATGTGCTTTACTTCTTGCTTGTCAATTCTTAAACTTGCTTTCTAATTCCTCTGATGTCTATGTGGTAATAAATTTAAACAGCATGAAATGTTTATTAATTATTGAGTTTATTTTTTAATGAATTATTATTAACATGGTA